GTTGTTGTGTGGTGCTAAGAATGGCGAGACGCACTGACGATGCCGACTACGATGCCGGCGAAACGTCTGGAAATGTACCACGTCCTCGGTCCGAATCTGGAAATGATCATGCATACAATGGACTCTGGACTAGGTGCGTTCCTCTAAGTCTTCCAACCAATATGACCAAGTTGCGAAAACAGGGTCAAACAATTTCTATAAAACGAAACGAGAATACGATTACACACAAGGTCACACCATCTTGGTCTTCATATTTCCCATCTACTCGTTGGTTTGTGAGTCAAACCATAATTCTCACATCACACCAAACGATCTAGACCAACTGGTGGCGACTTTTGTACGACGTTGAGGTTGACGCAGTCCACGAGACCTCCTTCCTCGTTCCGGATAATAATTGGCCGAGCTTTCGTCCATTATATGATAGACAACAACTGAGCCAGATAGTCTTCTTGCCCTAGCGTTAACGTGAGACTTTCACAAGAATGGGACCGAGCTCTAATGATGTCCATCATCCTCGTTTTTACCCGAAACGAGGGAGAAGGCCTCGTGGACTGCGTCAGCCTGAACTTCGTATAAAAGCCAAATAACTGCAGCACAACGCGATCCAGCCGTCCTCGTCTGGTTAGATCAACCTAAGAATCTCTTCTTCATGCACTCTCATACGAAATGAAAGTCCCCCAACAATGTTATCTCAGGAGATTCATCGAAACCCAGTTTTTCTTCGTATCTACATGAAGAGAGTCAAAGGAACAACCTCTTACCTGTTCTTTTCTCTTAGTAATAGTAGGCTTAGCTTCGAATTCCATCTGAAAGGCTTCAGCGAAACAAGGGAAATTTTGAGCCGCCGCCTTGTGAAGAGGATGAGGAAGTACAGGGCATTCCGAATTCCCCCCTCTCATTGTGTAGTAAAAAAATTTTCTAATAAAGGCACACATTCGGTTACGATATCTGAAAGGAGGAGGAAGCTGAATTAATCATTCATCCTAAAAATTAGTTTTCTAGGTTGTACCCCAGCGCCTATGTTAACGCGAAAGCAGATTGTCCTGATAGTTTCAGTATTTCAGGTCTGAAAATATCATCATCTTCTATCTGAAATTACGTCAGACAGAGCTGGAAGCTCAGACGGACTTGGTAGCTAATGCATTCAATCAGACCTCTGCATTCTGATTAGTAGTGGTCGTTAATGCCGAAAGCTTGCAGCCATGACAGCATATTAAGCCGATAAACGCGCGCTAAAACGCATCATTTTGTTTTTATGATGACATCGTATCACAGACTTGCAAACTTTTGTATACTTGAAAGAGGACGTATGAACTATAAAAAACGTTGAAACTTGTGATGCAGCTTATTAAATACCATCAGCATTACGAATACAGGAAAACAGGAGAGTAAAGAGAATTGAGAATGATGAAACTAAGAGAATCACTTGCATCATCCGAAATCTGGTAAGGATGGGAAAAATTTGGGGCAAAGCACTTACATTACCTTGTTCAAGAAAGAGCGATATTTCCTAACCTTGTTCATTAGGTGAGTTTTATCCATCACATGTATGCATAAGTAAACACGGGCCGGCACACATATACATCCACCAGGGCGTTGTTCTTTAAGAAGCAAATGCTCCAACAATAGCCCACATTCACGCGCACTTCAAACTGGCATATCGGCCGGATTATTAGCTCAATCAAAAAAGTATTTTTTGTCAATGAAATATAGGAATAGGCAAATAATTTGTTATGGCATTAACTGAAAACGTTGATATCCTACTAGAAACATGATAGCGTTTTTTATTAAAAGAATTTGACTCATCTTGATCTTGAGTGTCAAGAGTAAGAGCCAGAGCAAGGCAGCCCGGGCAACTCCGAACAATTTGAAAGTTCAGTCGCGTTAGGCCAACTTGTATGTGGGCATGCATGAGTGCTCGTGAAATCCTGAATCAACCAATGAGCCTTGTGTGTCAACCGGTCATGAAACGAGACAACGGTGGTATCAGCTCCCCACCTCAAGCGCATCACATACGGATACCCTAAAAGAGGCCAAGTGGCAGTAGATCTGGTGAACATGAAATTCCAGGCAACCGCTAGCAAATCCATGCTGTTGTCAAGTGATATTCTAATAGGAAAAGAAGTGTAATACATGAGGAAATCCAACCATCATGCATGTAAGCCAATATGCAAACGATAAACTGGGTACACCACTCGGAGTTCAGCTATTTGAAACTGAGCCAGCTAACTCATTTCCCTATGGGAAAACTCAACTGTCAAAAATCTCGGTGGAACCTAAAATGTAGGTGGTAGAAATAGCGTGGACAACGAAAATACAATTGCAATGATCTGCGCGAAGTCTAGAAGAAACGTTTCAGAATGGGCGTATGGAAAAGAAAAATTGGTACACAGGAAAAAGTTTCTAAGGCGGTAAAATAGCTTTATTTGCAGGATTAGAAAAGGTGCAACAGTACTCATCAAAGGACTATGAGAGCTGAAGATATCCAGATTAGAAGCGATTTTACCTTGTTTTAGCAACCTGGTCGTATTGCCAGAAAGACCCAGAGGAACGTAACTTTTCCGGAGTCCTCTGCCATAGTAGCCATGGCAATTTCCAGCATCGTACCATTGACTTGGCGCATTCTCAGATGGTTCACTGGCATCATAGTCGGCACCGTCAGGTCTCTCTAGAAATACGACCAAGTTGGTAGAACGGGATCAAAACACGTATATACGACTACACGAGACCGTAACCATAGTAAAGGTCACAGCATCTTGGCCTTCAAACCTCCGATAGGCAATGTAATAATCCCCTGCACGATCCTCAAGACTAAGAAGGATAATCCGGTGCTTGGGAACTCATCGATAAGGATCAACCTAAAAAAGAATTACACGTACAATCCCTTTGTAGGGAACCTGCTTCAACTATCTCGGGCATTAAAGAAAAATAACATGAAATGTACACACCCCGGCTTCTGAACCTGGTCCCTGAGGACACGAACTGCACCGTCGTTTGTCATACCCTCGAAACTGATCCCATTGACCTCAAGCAGCATGTCACCTGGGTCGATGCGGCCATCTCTGGCGACAGCGCCTCCACGCATAATCGAGCCAACGTAGATACCGGCGTCCCCACCAGTTCGTGTCGATTGGCCAACGATGCTGATGCCGAGGAAGTTGACGGTGGCGTCCAAGTTGAGAGTAACTGTGAGTATATTTAGAGACATTGTAGAGTCAGTCATGCTGCTGTAGGAGGAAGCCTGTTGGTGGATGCGATGACAGACAAACCCACAGAAGAGAAGGCGGCAAGCAAAAGAAAAGAAAGAGCTACATGTATCATATATTGACTAATCAGGCAGTTAATATCAAAACGACCCAGTTTTATTGTTCGATCAGCAGCCAGAGCAAACCAGGTGTCAGAATGACAGCCTCAAACATGCAATATTCGTATAACTAAATGAGTGTGGAATGCGCTACAAGGGACTTCAGGAACGTCAGCTACCAGCCGGCAGATTCCGTTTCTGAATGGGTATCGAGAGTATCACAAAAGTGCCTCAGATACCGTCGGAAATTGATTTAAAATATGTACATTGAATATCCAAAGAGATGATATGTTTAAAGATAGACATATTCTGAGAAAAGCAAAGACTTATCGAGAAGAAGGGTTAGCCGTAGCCCCGAAATGCAACCTTTTCTATCGCCCCCTTTATAATGAGAACGAAGTCTGAAAATGTTCATAGGTTTGTCTCACCAGAAACTGAAAGAATGAATTTAATATGCAAAAATAAGCATAATGTTACCTATGCATATTGTTTTGCATGTACATAAGTCAGATTTGGAAGGCCACTTCATATTTATCGGCAAGGGTTCCGTACAACATGTTGGAATATCTTTCATTTCCACTCCACCCGCCTCTTCAAATGAAGTGAAATATAATCCAACATCAATCCGTTAAGGGATCCTTCAAAAAACACTTTTCTCTATATTACATATGAGAGTTTCTTGGATGAAGCAGATACAGGACATCAAAGGGCTCAAATCGTTAGGATGTCAAGATAAAAGAAGCCGATGAGAAAAAGGCATAAATTGGAGATATTTTATTTGAGCGTATAATAGTATAAAGAAAAGAGATAATGTTACATTTATTTTGTAAAAAGATGGCACGCTCTGGGCTTTTGCTGAAGTAGAGAATACCAAAAACGAATGAGCGAGAACAAGGCCCCATAAAATATGCGAGTTGTGATTTTGACCTTTTGTCACAAATTTCTAACATTCCTTTTGAAATATACCGAAAGCAAGCATAGTCTTCTTCAAGAAAGGCAAAAAGGTAGATAATATATTATGGTCGAGTTGTCAACAAGCAATATTTTGGCATGATGCAACAGGAACTGATAACGATCCTGCCCATGAATAATTGGAAGGAATTCCTAACAGCATTGAAATTGGCTGCGATATACACATCATATAGGCTAGACCTCCGGTATAATTAGATTGGAAATACATGCATTTCATTCAATTCGCAATAGGCCTATAAGGAAACACCTTTACTGTCCATTTATAGGTCGAATCCCGTGAGGGTGCTGATTACATGATAGGGCGAGATTTTAACTGC